CTAATTTGGTTTGATTTTCTTAATGAGGAATAGTAAAGTTAAAGCTTTAATTTATATTTCCATTTTGTTTTACATCTGTATTATGCAGCACTTTGGAAGCTGTTGTTTGTGTTATATGAATAAAGTGGATTATCCTGATTCATCAGCCAGTTTCACTTTGTGGAATGTGGAAGCATTAGGGTTCATTCTCTCGACGGTAGGCAGGTACTTTTTTATTTAACCTCTGCTTAATCTCTGCTATTTGGTCATGACGTATGTAATGCACTGAAACACTCATTGGTGTCCAAGTAATTGCCGGCACAACAACAAACAAAGCAGAGAGTGAACATGTCTGCCAATGATCATTGTCGTTTCTGCGAGGTGAACTTGCGAATTAAAGGTGCAATAAAAAATCCGAAGTTTGTATTTGACAAAGGAAGTCCAAAGGAGGATAGCGTATGCAGTCTGATATCACAACGTGGATTGGTTCAGCTCTTTGCTGATTGGCTGGTGCATGGTCTACTTTCAGGGTTCTTGCAAACCATCTAGTGTATTCTGATTCCTGACCTAGTCGCTGGAGAGAAATTAAATTGAGTGGAGGCACTAGGTGGCGCCAGCCTAGCTAAAAGTGGATTGGATTATGTTTTAAATACATCAATATGCTCTAGTATAATGTTGAAAAGGTGAGCTATGTACCAAAATCATATCATGATTCCAGGAGTCACAATTTCAGTTGTGTTACGATTCGTGTAGGTACTATATTTATAACAATTTGCCAGTATTTGAATTGGAAATGGTTCATATTTATCGTTGTCATGATACAATGCATATGAAGACTAAAGGCATATTTGCAACTCAACTGTAAAACTCAATTAGTAGTATTACAAAATATTATATTATATTTCATGGTTCCTATCTGTTATTCACACATATCACAAGGTCAGACTTCCACATGGAGTACTGTGATATCAGGAAGTGCATCTGGCTTAAAGATCTGCCAAACTAATCTTTTAAATAATTTTTTATAATATAAGGCAGTATTTAAGGTTGGGCTGTACTGAAATGAACTGTTTCTCCATAGAGCTTCCACGGTAATTACCTTATTTCTGAACTGTACATACTATTCACAAGTTTCTTCGAGAACTATAGCTCCCAAAATTCCAATTAATATCTCTATATGACTTGGTGTCCTTGCTGTTCCAGAGGTGGGCAGGAGCCTTGAACGCGTTAATGAAAACAAAGCTAAGCTGCTGACGGACGCACATTTCTGCTTGGCCGCACAGGTTGAATTTCCAATTAGAGAGAAGTGCAGTGCGCAGTGGATCATGGACCTCCCTGTACCGAGCCTCTACAAGCTGTGTGTAGCATCAGACCTGTCATGTGTGAGCCCTGATAGAGATGGATGTGCTGTCCAAAGAAGAAGAGAAGAACAGGTGAGGGAGGCAGGGGGCATCTTCACCAGAGTTGCCAAGTTTGCTTCTTTATAGGAACTTTGGGCTTTTGGGAAGTTATTTGTAAATTTTCACAATCTGAAGTTGCGTTCTTGTTTTCACGGGTTGCAAGTCATAAAAGATGTGATTTTATTTTGATTCTGTTTGACAATATTAGACCCAGTATTGACTGAAGTACTACCTGATCACATTATAAATATGTTAACCTTTCTAGTATAGGGTCACTTACCTGCTTGTCTCCTGGTGATGTTACAGCTTTGCCAGAAAAGTTCCACAGAATGGCATTTAACTGAACATCTTGCATTTACTTCATTAGTTGTTTTATTAATATTAAAAAAATACTTTGAAAACATGCATTCTTACTACACAGGGGCAACCTCTCCATGGAGATTGTCATGTTTAATGCCATATTGTGCAACATTCCAGCAAAACAAATACATCACAGGGAGACGAGTTTGTGATGGACCCTCCAATAGAAAAGTTACATAATGTCCCTTTAAACCTGGAACTGAAAATAACAGATATTTACTAGCTGCTTCTTTTTTTGGCTTATATTTGTGAGGCTGGCGCTGCTTGTTCGGCGCATTTTTCTCTCAGGCTTTGTCGCTTTAATCTCTGAAAATCTGGCAACCCTGCCCTTCACACATGTGTATTATGTGGAGTTAGTGTGTGAGGATACATGCACTGAACCAGGTTAAGATGTCCATGGGGACTGCAAACTGCTGGAGCGTTAAATCCAGGGGAATCCCACACTACTTTAATGTCACTGGATTAAAGGTGTGGTGCATTGTAGCAGATAGACATGATACTGTGCTGGTCATTGAGTAATGGTTGTCAAGGAAATAGGAAGTCAAATACTGACGTTGTCAGATAAATGTATATAGTCGGGAATCTTATATTAAAATGAATGCCTTTCAAAATGGTGTCAGTGCTTCTAGTTGTGAAGTGAATACAACATCCTATAAGACAATGGCAACATGCGATTTTGTGATGACAGCAAGGTCCAGTTTGTATGTATTTACAGGGAGAAATGTACACTATTAGACTATAGGCTATTCTCTGTAATAATGGGCACACACTCACCATGAAAAATCTAAGAGCCCTAAAGGGGTTCTCAAACTTTCTGAGGCCAGGGACCCCTTGTCAGTATGATGGCCGTCCTCCAGAATGGTATCACAGTAAAATTCAGATGTTCAACCCTTGTTTCTAACCAAATTTGAATGAAAGATTTATTTTTCATAGTCCTTATTTTGTTGGAGTGGTTCTTTCCATCAAAAAAAAGTTTGGGATTGTATATAATAAGAAATGGTAGTATTTAAGAAGATCAACAGTTATCATAAATTCTGAGGGAATACACACCTTGAACCACTGCGATAAAACAACCAAAGTCAAATATTCTATTCAAAACCCCAAAGAAATTCTTGGTCATCAGAGGTGAAGTACTTTGTCATCTCTGTTGATCTAAAATGAGAGAGTACTGCACACATTCAAATACGTCTGTTATTTCCCAGGCTCTTTTTTTCCCCTCATGCTTCTCCTCATCTGTGCCTAATCTAGTGTGACCCTTCTGGATGATATAAGAAGGTAACAGAGTACTCTTTATAATCACACCCATACCAGGTAAGGGTCACTCAAGTTTAATCCTATAAATTTTAAGATACATTATTGTCTGCAATTTCATTTAATAAATAAAAATAAATAAATAAAAAAATCCTACTCATTGGCATTCATTACTGCTGTATAATCCCCCACTGCCAATATGGCTTCCCTGTGGGATTTAGTCACGTGGGTGCAGGAGCTCTATTGTAGCTGGATTAAAGGTGTGGTGCATTTAGATTAATGTGTCTAAATCAGACTAGGGCAGTTATCTGTTTTTCCTGGCGTGCATGTAACCATAGTAACTAAGAAAGGACCGCTCACCTCATGTGACACTAACGGTACATTATCTTCCATTAACTATAATACACAAAAGTGGCAATATTTAACTTACATTCACATTAAAACAGCCACATTATACTGTTCAAACCCATATATTCCATAGAAAATGGAGTTGTATATTTAGTTCAATGGCGGTGCACACTGGAGCTAAGTCTACAGTCTAATGCAGGTAAATGGTGGTCCTGCTGAGTGTGCACTGTGTGACAGAGAGCTGCTGCCCTTTTTGGCCTCTGCACCTCTTTATTGTACCTGCGAACTGCTCCACAGCTCTACACCGAAAATCTAACCACATTTTATTATAGACCAAGATCATTTTTTTCTTCTTAGTCACACTTTGGGTTTTGAACTCGAAAGGAATAGGACTTAAACTGGAGTTTCCAGTGTTAAAGGGTCTGCAGCCTATCATTTTTTTCTGAAACCTGAAAAAATGTCTAGTCACAGATTATTATTATATTGTAAAAACAAAATAAGTCAGCTGTTTCCTCTTTGCATCTAATTATAAAGTATTTTTTAATTGTCTGTGAACCAGGAAGTAAGGCTGATGTGTTAGAACAGCATATCAGTTACACTTAGAGTTAGACAAAATGTATTGATCATCAAGGAAAATTATTTGAACACAGAAACTCATATATCTCAATATAAAATAATTAGGGGTCTATGATATGATATTGTCACGGTATGAATCTCATGTACGATATTTATTGCAATATCATGGGAAAGCTCACGATATGTTGGGGAGGCTCACGATTAGGGATGTAACAATATGCACATTTCTCGGTACGATATTTTAACAGTATACATCTTATGGTATGATATTTATTGTGATATTTTGTGGAGGTGAACAAAAGTTAACTATTAATATGCTACGGTTTCCTCTTAAAATACCTTGACAAGACTTAATCCAAAGAACTAAGACTTAAAAGTGCTTAGAACTGTTATTTCTTCATGTAGTCTACACTGAAATGGAGCAAAGGATCATGGTCTATGTAGTTCTCTCTGTCTTTTTTTAGCTATTGCTGCACCATAGCTCTTAATTTAAACAAACAAACTTGTAATCCGATATATTGTGATGGTCTAAGAGTGAGACCTTTGACGATACGATATCACGATATGTTGGTTATTGTTACAACCCTAAATATAATATAATATAATATAATATAATAAAAAGCAAAAATATAATATAATAAAGAGTAAAAATACACATGCTAATAATAAATTCAAAATAAGTAGCAAAAACAGTAAGACAGTTGTCAAATAAAACATAATTCTACAAATGTATATGTACACGTAAAAAATAATATAGAACTACAGTAATACAACATATATTTATCTAGGTCAGTAATGTTAGTTGTTGTTAGCATTACCATAACACCAAACTCTGCTCTGGCCTCTGAATGTTTTGAAAAACTCGTATAAGCTCATCATGGTGAATAATCAGGATGCTAGGAGTGCGTTTAGGAAGCGAGAAATAACTTTGGAATAACTTTAAAATGAACTAGCTCTGTTTTTTGTGTTTTTAAGACTGTGATAAATAGGTAGCCATTAACTAACTCTTTAAACAGTCTCTTGGAGTTGTTCAGCACCAAATTAAAGTCCCAGTTATCCCCATTACGTTCCCAGTGTACGTCTCACCTTTGTTATGTCTGCTGACCAGGTGGTAGGCGCTGGAGCGGTACAGGATCTGAGCGTCTGCTGTGTAGATACTGTCCAGATCTTGTCTCCATGTGTCTGGGCTGAGGGACTTGAGCAGATCTTCTATCGTGTCAAAGGCTGCGATGGTCCTGTCCAGATCCTCCAGAGAGAAGGGCACCTCTGGGACAGGCACCTGGCCCGCCCCAAAGTCCTGCGTGGAGCATAGAGCACAGAGAACAGAGGCAGAGCAGTGAATTACAGGATTGTGTTCAGCTCAAGTCACTCTTCCATGCACTTGGCAGATTGTAAAGTCAAACTCCACAAACTCATGAGTCACCACATTTCTACTTTAATGAAATCTCTATTCTGTTGTGAGACTCTGTTCAAAAGGTTACCCAAAACACTGGCACTTTTATTGTATTAGGAATAGTTCTCCAGCGCTGTTTCTCAGACCTTGACATTTTTTTATTTATTTGAAGAACAAATGTTTTAGTCTGGGGTTGGCTATGAATGTTTAACGACGACGTGACCCCTAGTTTAGCACTCAAAATGGAAAAATATGCCAGTTAAAATTCAAAAATACACATTTACTCTTACAGACGCCATCTTTTATTTTTGTCAACGTGAGCACGATAACAGTGATTTTTGTTTGGATATGATTAGGCCTGTCATGTGTCAAGTATGATGCATTGCTAAAGTAAATGTAGACGATAAAAGATAATGCTGAAACTTATTTATGCCACTGACGCAATCACCCAAGAGCAAATTTAAACTGCAACAACTATTCTAAATCTACAAAATTGTTAAAAAAAAATCAGGACATTCAGATGTGTCCTACTTACCTGTAATGTTACTATTCAATACAGTGCACTCTGTTTGTTTGATAATGTTTAAAATGTTCAATAAACCAAGTTGGAAAAAAAAAAATCAAGAGCCAGGAGCTGCAATAAATAAACAGCAGAATGAAACGATAATTACTGACCCCCCATAAAATGATTCCTGATTTCATATACTGAACGGTAAGTCAATATAATAATTATCGTGGCAGGCCTGGATACGATACTAAGAAATACTATGACAAACATGATACCAGCTCTTGTGTCAAGGTGTCATTGTCTTTGATACACCCCAGCTTGGACTGATCCAGATTTGAAATATATCTGCAGATAAACTAACATATTAAAAGTCCTATATTACGCAAAATTGACTCTTTTGTGCTTTTAGTCCTGTTGGAATGTTGTTACCTCCGCAAAATCATACCTGGGGTTGTGTTTTCTTTCATTCACATACAGTAAATTGTAGTAAGCTTGCATTATTAGTCTGTCAACAGCTCCAAAGCTCAAAATGCTTTATTCCTCCTTGTGATATCATGAAGCAGTAAAGAGAACAGCTACCTTTTACCTTTTGTTCAGTAGAGGTTGGCAATTCCAGGTCTGAAATTATCCAAAATATTCTAGTGAAGGTGTATGGAGTTTAAAAACGCAGTGGAGCACTTCCTGTATTACCACATGACATCAGAAGGTGGAAGAGTGTTTTCCGTTTGAGAGAATTCAACCTAAATATGCAGGGCCTATGCGTTAAATATGTGAGAATGAAACAAAACACAAATCTGGGGATGTTTGTGATGAGGAAACATTATAACATAGATCACAAAATATGTTAACTATGTATGTAAAAAAAAAAAACAACAACTTTATTATTATTTTAAGGTACACTTATTAACATCTAACTACCTGCTAATCAGCATAGTTGTAGATGGTTAATTTGTCATTAACTAGTATTTATTCAGCCCTTATTAATGTTTAAATCCCCATAAGCTTATTCTGCTATTAGTTATACATTTACAAACATTTTAATATGAATACACTCCTTATTACTGCTTATTAGTATGTTACTAAGCCATTTTTGTCCTTGAATTATGATTCTAATAAGAGTGTTGTTAAGGACTAGTAGCACAAGAAATGTAGTTTTTGCTTATTTCCGTATAATAAATTTAGCTTACTCTTATGTAATGAAACTCTCTCTATTAGGTGAACTATTAATATGCATGTCACAATACATGAATTAAGTGTGAAGAAGAAACCACTTTAGAATAGGGACCATATTCATTTCAATTTCAATTTCTAGTCATTTCTTAGCTACAATCAAAACATCACTTTAGAATGGGGGACATATTTAGGGCTTAATGACTTAATTCATGGCTAATTGGACTCTATTAACACCTAATAGAGAGTGTTTTATTACATAAGAGTTGTTAGTTATTTATTTATTACATAATAGATGTTAATAAGTGTACCCTAAAATACAGTTTTACCAAAAAAATACAATATTGATATTTTCTGCTTGAGAATCAATACTTTTCAATACTCCAGTCAGTATTGCTTTCTTTCAAGAACAAGCTATCCTGCTATTTTTACTATTGTGCAATACGACTATATGATGCAGACTATAAACTGCAACACCACCCGTGCCAAAAATCTATGTGGCACTTAAAATTCAAATCCCATGAGTAAACTTATTGAAAAGTATGATTAACAACTCAGTGATGTGCTGCTGTATTTCACGGCCTTTTGGTCAGATAATTCAAGGCCGACAGTATCAGCGGGCGTACACGAGTGCTGTATATAAGAAGACAAAACCTCCACCCACGCATACGCATTACCAGCCCATGCAGAAAACCCACAGTGCCACAGTCCAGCGCCCAATAATTATTATCATCATCACAAATGTCAGAGCAGGCTGCGCGCGTACACCCTTTACAATCACAACATGTTCTGTGGAAACATGAGTCTAAGGGAGCGTGTCATTGGACATCAGGCGTGTGGATAATATGAAAATAGTATGTGCATGTTGGAGTTTGGGCTAGGCGTCTGTCACTGTTAATAATATAGTCATTGTTAAAGATGAAAAAAAGAGAAAAAAAATGCCCCCGTTTAACATATTGTAGTAAACATTGTCTGGAGCTGATGGATAGTTTGTGATCAGGTCAGAGTTAAAGAACACGTATTATGCCAAAATTTACTTTGTGACCTTTTGATCATGTCATATATTGGTCTCAAAAACAGTTTTACTTCATTTGCTCATGTTTTATTAATCCATAAATCTAAAATTGCCTTCTCTGAGCACTCAAAACTATTGCTGGTTTTGTTATGTCATAGAAAAAACTCCAGACTTGTCCTATCCCGTTTTTAAGACCATAAAACATAATTGGATGCTGGACTGGATTCTGCAGACAAATTGCTTTCACAGTGGCTCTGTTAGCATAGCATTCACAATTATTGTATTATTTATGTTCTAAATGTTAATTCCGGTTGCTGATAGCAGAGGGAGCTCAGGCGCCTAAATAGCTCACTGGAAACAAAGGTGAAGTTTGAAGTTTGCAAAGTTTTTTTTTCCAAATTAGAATGTGCGAAATACAAATTCTTCATCTAAGTCTAATACATTTACTTTCACTTCACTTTGTGTCTGAAACAGCTGTTCTAAAGCTGTGTGTTGACCCAGTTGTGTGTTTGATGATGGTTAATGCATGTGTATTGTGTACAGGACTTACCGACATGAGCATGCCTTCCTCAGAGTTTGGTCTGGCAGCAGGAGGATCATACTGCGGACAGAAAATAAAGACATATTAAAGCTTCTATATTAAGCAAAACTAACTCTTATCAGCAGTATTTTATAATGCTGTTACCTCCCCAAAAACATATCTGGAGGTGTGTTTTATTTCATTCACACATGTTTGAGTTATTATTAGTCTGTCTACTAGTATATATTACAGCCCGACCGATATATCGGCTGGCCGATATTATCGGCCAATATGGGCACCGGGAGACATATCGGCTATCGGCCGATATGCTTGCTGATATGGGCCGATATTTCACATGGATGTTATACCTCGTTATAAAGCTTAGACTCTCTACATTATGTTCATTTAATCCAATTTACAGACAGATAAATGTCCTAATATGTGGCTCCGCATCAGTATTTATCTACGGTGTAATTTGTCTGTGTCTGTGTCCGTACTGTCCCTGAACACACCACCAGAGTGACGTCACTTCACTCGCGTGTGTTTGTTTACACCCGCAGCGGTGCGCAACACTGAGATTATTTTCTTTTTCGGACAATCGGTTTGAGTCTGGATTAAAAGGACATTTATTAGTGCATACTTGTGATGTGAGAAGGAGCCTGTTTGAGCGGTGAATGTTGGAAATACATCAACTTTGAAGCGAGTTTAGGTTTTGTTAGCGGTTAGCTGCTGTAGCTCCCGCACATAAACAGGCTGTTTTCTATTGGTCTATTGTAAAGTGACTATATTGGCCGTATATTTGTTATTGGACCTGCATTGATATGTAAATGAGCTGTGAATAGACGTGTGAATGATCCACATTTATACATATAATTAACTACCGCTTTGCGCAGCATTTACGGCAAAAGGCTAATAGCAATAGTTTACTAGCTAGGAGTTATGGGTCGGTCGCGATCGAAGCGGCTCTTAGAGCGAACAACGGGAGCATGTTTCTTATTGGGAGCCGTGTTTTCTCTATTTCTCACTTTTTCTCTTCAAGCCGCTTGTAGACCCGTAGTTTGACAGCAGCCGCGGCTGAAAACGAAACTTTCAGAAATCTGCGTGTGCATAGGATAAAAAAAAGTGCATTTTGGCTGCAGTTCAGCATAAAATGAATAAACCAGGACTAATCTTGGGCTCGAGTGCAGGAGAGAGATAGAAACAGTCCCGACACTCAGTCCTGGTTCAGTTCTGGTTTAACCTGCTTGCAACAAAACAATCTCAAGAGTCGCTTGGGAGCCGAAAGACCCAGCTCTTTAGTGAGCCGAGCCAAAAGAGCCGGTTCTCTAAAAAAAAAAAAAAAACTGGAATACCCATCACTAGTAGCTAGAATGTGATGCAAAAATGCCATTAGGCCAATCTACTGTATGTAAATATGATGTAAGGAGTCAAAATAACAATAAATGTTGCCTAAATAAACCCAATTTAGTCCACTAGAGCCAAACCTAAGTTTTTTAATCAATTCAAGATTTACAGTGAATTTTTACATCACTAAATATATCGGTGATTATATCAGCAGCTCCAACCGCCATTATATCGGTTTCATATCGGCCACAACAAAATCCATATCGGTCGGGCTCTAGTATATATGTCTACTATACTAAATGTACAGGATTTCCGAGCTAAAATGAGTGCATGAAACAAAATGCGGAATTTTATACTACCAGTCACAAGTTTTAAAACACCACATTTTTTCCAGTTTTTCACTGTATACTGTTGACCAAAACATATTCTAAACTTTTGATTCATGAAAGTGTCCTCCTTTGGCAGATACAACAGCTGAACACACTCGTGGCTCATTCTTTTTACAATAGAAATCAAATATTCTTCATAAAGTTTTTCCCCAAGTCTGTTGCAGAAGTTCCCATAAATGTGTGGCACTTGTAGGTTGCTTGGCTTTCACTCTTCTGTCCAGTTCATCCCAAAACCAGCTCAATGAGGTTTAAATCTGGAAACTGTGCTGGACACTCCATGTTTTTAAGGTTACCATCGTGTTCTTTTTTCCTGAGGTAGTTTTGGCAGAGCTTGGACTTGTGTTTTGTTATCGTTTATCTTTTTTTAACCTCTGTCTGTTCAGTACTTAAATTTGTTCCATTTCAAGCTCTTCATTGGACTTGAATTGCTATAAATAACTGGAAAAATTAAGGTGTTCTAAAACTTTTGACTGGTAGCGTATAATGATGACATAGCTTGAAGGACTTTAACCTTGCAGTACCATCTTTTTTGTCAACCTTTTTGTTAAACTACCACTTGACTGGTATAGAACTATAATACACTTATTTTTTGTTTGCATAAAGGTGAAATCAGCAAATATCAGCTCTATGCAAAATAACTTTAATCTTAGTTACAAAGGTTATACACACAAACTAAATAAACTCCTTGGGATTGTCTTTTGAAATGCAGCCTCTTGCGTCTGTTTTGCTCCTCTAAATCTCCTTGAAAACTCTTAAGTACCCGGGCTGCTTGTGTAGAACAGTAAATCTGTGTGAATACTTCAGAGATGCTTTGTGTGGCCGTGCGGGTGCAGAGACAGGATAGAGCTGACATCAAAGGTGGAGGGTGCGAGCGGGTTTTTGTTTAACACCGTCTCACATGTGGCTTTTAGATAAACACACTATCACACACACTTCTCCCCTAACAGCTGTGAATGGGGTCAAAAAGTGCATGTTTACAAACCCCTGCGATCTTTCCCTTTTAAGGACAAATATTCGAGTAAACAACATCTTACGAGGATGGGGACAGTGGAGTTTGAGGATACGAAAAATTCTCTTAACTCCAACATTTGCGAGTTTATCCTTGAAACTAGCAATGCATACTGATGTTGTGTCCTTAGGCAAAACATGTTTGTGTAGACTCAATGCAGAATGGTATAGGCCTAAATGAATGGAGACATATTGGAAGAACATACAGTAGCGCTTATTCCATTTTGGTAACACTTTATTACACTTTTAATAGCTTTAATTAAGAATGAACAAAGCATGAACAAAATGAAATAAGAATGATTCAGGCTTAGTACCGTATTTTCCAAACTATAGGGCACTCTGGATAATAAGACGCACTGTCTATTTTCAAACTTTTTTAACAAATAAACCGCACTGGACTTTAAAAGAAACACAGTTGGATGAATCAGTCAGACTTTGTTTGGCGCGTTCACGGCTTTGTTCAGTTGTGGCGTGTAGGGAGGGTGCTGTCTGGGACCGCTGGATTGTTGCCGTGTTCGCAGCGACTCCGTTCCATTCCACGTCCGTGCGGAGTGATGAGTGTGGCCGTGGGTGTTTTTCGCTGCACGGTCACTGTCTGCTCCATGCGTGTTTCCGTGTGCTAAAGGTGGTGCGGCTTTGTACTTTACTGCAGTCATGCTGGGACACCCGAGTGGATTCGTGTATAGGGCGCTCTGGATTGTGGGGTGAGGTTTTTGATGGGGTTGGAGACTTATAAGGTGCAGAAAATACAGTAACTACTTTAAGCACCTAACAGCTAACTCTAACCCTTAATTAAAGTTCCAAAATGTAAAATTTTAACCAAAAAAGTAGACTGAAATGCATTTTTTTTTTTTTTTTTTAAGGATGTTTTTCTTGTGCTGACTTGCATCTCCACAAACCTGACTTGGTAGACCTGTTTGTTTCCATGGAAGTATTTTCTATGATCTCACAGTATGGCATAAAGCTCATCTTCATGGAGAATATTCCGCAGTATGGTTTTAACTTTCTATTTCCATTGAACCACAGAGATGATGTACCGCCTTCACAAAGTTACATGGTTAAAGTAATCACTAAGCCTCAATATACATTTTTTAATTCTACTAATTAAGGTGTAGTTAATATAAAGCTGTAACCTTTTGAAGTCCTTTTTAAATGCTTTTTATTTTAAACCACTTGTTTGAAACTTATTTGAAAGTATGACTTAACATCTCAACAAGATAATTCTATTCTTTGCTGACTCAATAAGCCCTGATACATGATTAGACCATACAGTCTGACGATACTGAAGGTTCCAGTTGACGTTACCATGGTTACATCACGATTCTTCCACAGACACATATCATCTCACATTCAAGGCTATACCTACTGTACCTCTGAACTCACACTGAACAACAGGGTCTTGACTGGTACTTGGTATTTTCCTCAGTGAAATAGACTGATGCTATAGCCTATCTATAATAAACTCCTTCAGCAATAACCAACAATAATGCACTATTCAGTACAATAGAAGATAATATATATGATGTCTTCCATATGTCTGCTGTCTGCAATCATCTTGTTATTCCCTTTATTAAGCACATGTAAATATATCTCTAATTATCTGTTATAACCATATCACTTCATTGTCAAGTGATCTAAGCCCACAGCTAATGGTTAAGTGTCCATTTTTTCCCTTAAACATAACATAAGTGCAATATCCTTGGTAACTTCACGACAAAACTTACTAAGTGTCCAACATTGTAAGTGTTCATTTGTAACTAGATACACTGCCAATCCTATTTTCTTGTGCAATCATTTCAAGGATTCATGAAGGAATCAGAGTTTGTTTTACATTTCCTAACACCAACAGTCTACCTAAACTCACCAATGTTGTACGAAAGGATGCCACAGTAATTGAAATATCGTGATATCGCATTGTCAAAGGTCTCACAATTATGTTATGGGCCATCACAATATTGAATTTCACATTTCTTTGCTTAAATTCATTGTTAGAGCTACAGAGAGAACTACAGAGAGAAGATAGAACTACATATACCACTTACATTTTTAAATCTTAATTATAATTTGGATTATGGCATGGCATATTCAGAATTTTGTAACCCTCCTTAAAACATTGGCATAAATATTGTACAGTGAAATGTATGTATATTGTGAATATCGTAGAGACTTGGAAATCGTTACATGCCTAGTAGTAAGTAGTTTGACATTTCTGTTTAAACCTGACCTTGACCTTTGAATGACCACTATAATTGTTTAGGAATTACCTCGGAATGTTATAACTCAAGGAATTACCACTGAAATTAACTGGGAAATAAAGTAAGTGTCTGAATTATGGAATTA